TACTGCCCTGATTAGACAAAGGGAAGGGTAGCGGTCGTACGCTAATTACCATGTTTCTCTTTTATTAGATAGGATTCTGGTCCTAGAATTTAGCTTTGCTCTAGTAAAGTAGTTTAGAAACAACAACAATAAACACTCTTTTTATGAATTTAACTTAGTCCAACAAAATTATCTTTTCTTATATTGGGCAACATATGGTAAACTTCTCCATATATCTAATTTGATAATATATGAATCACTTCATGATTCAGAGAATATATCATAAACAAGGTTAAAACATACTAAATTCTTCAATATGACTTTGGAAATGTCGTAACATAACCTCTTTGGGTTTCAATTTCATTATGTCTAACATGAAGGTAATTATGAAAGCACCCTACTTAATACAATAAGGATACTTGGTCTAGAGAACAATTCCTGCTCAACACTACTAGAATATCTCTGTCAATTTTTAATTAGAACTATTTATAATTTATTGCTTATTATTTAAGATGCTTATTAACAACCAACATGAGATAGCTAATTATTTGATTTCTATTTGATAAACCTATTGGTTAACGTTCTTACAATTTCTTAAAATTAAAAATCACCTGTATTGCTTCTATAATTGATTGCTTTAAGGAAAATATGATTTGAATTTTCAAAACCCAACTTATACTCATTTTATCGTTTCCTCCTAGATTTTTAATCTCTTAATAAACTTTTACTATGCTGCTAGTCTTCTATCAACATCCATTAAAAATGTAAATTGGAAACAGGAGAAACCAAGATGGCGGCATAGGTTAACGCTGGAGATTGCTGCCTCGAACAACCACTTCAAAAATACACCTAAAAGACAGAATGGACATCATCCAGAACCACAGGAAGGCTGGCTGAGTGGAAGTTCTACAACTAGGAGGAAAGACAATAGCATACCGAGACTCAGAGGAGGCGCAGTGCTGAAGTAAAATACTAAGGTGTGGAGGTGCATGCGGAGTGGGCTGTTGGCGGAGGGCGCGGTTGTCTGTTTCAATCAGGAGGGAGTCTCAAACTCTGAGCTCCAGATCCGGGTGAGTCTCTAGGGACCCAGACTCAAACGGGACTGTCTGGCTTCAGTCGGAACTCGAAGACAGCTTTCTCTCCGAGCTTTGCAGCGGTTGCTGGGACTCTGAGAGGCAGAGCCCTTGGGGACGGGACTGAGAGCAGCCATAACTGCTCACTCCCCACCCCAACCCCCCCGACCTGTAGATCCCCCGGGACCTGCCCCGCCCAAGCCCTGCACAGAGGCATTTGTGGGATAGCCTTAGGCAAAAGCTAGATTAGCACCGCCCTAGAGATCCAGCACAGAAGTTATCCCACTGCAGACACAGCTGATTCTCATAGCCAGTCGGCCTGGAGGTCAAATCACCCCCAGTATTACCGACAACAATCAAGGCTTAACTACAACAAGACTGCGCACAAAGACCACAAGGGGGTGCACCAAGAAAGCATAAAAAATGCGGAGACAAAGAAACATGACACAAATGGAGGATATAGAGCTCAAAACCGCACTTTTAAGGTCTTTCAATAATTTTCTAGAAACTGCCGATAAACTTAATGAGATCTACAAGAAATCTAATGAGAGCCTGGATGTTGTGATAAAGAACCAACTAGAAATTAAGCATACACTGACTGAAATAAAGAATATTATACAGACACCCAACAGCAGACCAGAGGAGCACAAGAATCAAGTCAAAGATTTGAAAAGCGAAGAAGCAAAAAACACCCAACTGGAAAAGCAAAATGAAAATGAATCCGAAAATACGAAGATAGTGTAAGGAGCCTCTGGGACAGCTTCAAGCGTACCAACATCAGAATTATAGGGGTGCCAGAAGATGAGAGAGAGCAAGATATTGAAAACCTATTTGAAGAAATAATGACAGAAAACTTCCCCTACCTAGTGAAAGAAATAGACTTACAGGTCCAGGAAGTGCAGAGAACCCCAAACAAAAGGAATCCAAAGAGGACCACACCAAGACACATCATAATTAAAATGCCAAGAGCAAAAGACAAAGAGAGAATCTTAAAAGCAGCAAGAGAAAGAAAGTCAGTTACCTACAAGGGAGTACCCATACGACTGTCAGCGGATTTCTCAACAGAAACTTTGCAGGCCAGAAGGGAGTGGCAAGAAATATTCAAAGTGATGAATGCCAAGAACCTACAACCAAGATTACTTTATCCAGCAAAGCTATCATTCAGAATTGAAGGTCAGATAAAGAGCTTCACAGATAAGGAAAAGCTAAAGGAGTTCATCACCACCAAACCAGGATTCTATGAAATGCTGAAAGGTATCCTTTAAGAAGAGGAAGAAGAAGAAAAAGGTAAAGATACAAATTATGAACAACAAATATGCATCTATCAACAAGTGAATCTAATAATCAAGTGAATAAATGATCTGATGGACAGAATGAACTGGTGATTATAATAGAATCAGGGACATAGAAAGGGAATGGACTGACTATTCTTGGGGGGGAAAGGGGTGTGGGAGATGCGGGAAGAGACAGGACAAAAATCGTGCACCTATGGATGAGGACAGTGGGTGGGGATTGAGGGCGGAGGGTGGGGTGGGAACTGGGAGGAGGGGATTTATGGGGGGGGAAAAGAGGAACAAATGTAATAATCTGAACAATAAAGATTTAATTTTTTCAAAAAATGTAAATTGGTAGTAATAATTTTTCCAGAGTTTCTACCTTTCATTTGGAGAGAAAATTGTATTTTGTAATTTCAAATGTCTAATCCTTCAATTGAGTATTACCACTCTATTATTATTTGGTATTGGAATTTCTTTAGTCTTTGGTAAATTTTCCAGTAATGTTTTTAAACAGCCTAAAAATAAGCCAAAGATAAATTGTCCCTTCCTTCTGAGAGCTTTCACCAAAATCAAATGCAACATAAATTAAATGTATATTATATACAAGGTACTTTTACATGTGTTATCTTATTTAATCTCATAATAATTTACATTTTTCAGAAAAAAAACATTGCAAGTTCAGGAAGATTAAACGATGTGTCAAAGGTTATACATATAATAAGAAATGCCAGGCACTGATCCTAGGTATATCTGTTTACGAAGCCAAGATCATTCCACTACGAGGGGTTGGCAAACTCAGTTTAAAGATCCAAATAACTGCCCTGGCCAGTGTGGGCTCAGTTGGTTGGAGCATTGTGCAGTATATCAAAAGGTCATGGGTTGATTCCAGATCAGGGCACATACCAGGTTGTGGGTTTAATCCTGGTCATGGTGCATACAGGAAGCAACTGATCAATGTTTTTCACTCTCTCCATCCCTACCTACCGTCCTCTGTCTTTCTCTCCCTTCTCCCTCCCTTTCTCTCTAAAATCAATAAAATGGAACATTTTTTTAAAAAAATAGGTAGAGGGTCTAATTTAACCCAAGGCCCATAGTTTGACAATTCTCCAAGATAATACAATGCATTCCCTCCTAGAGAATTTCTATTAGCTTTTCATTAACAGCAATAAATTTTCTCTCTCACTATTAAAAAAATTATGACCTTAATCTTACTGGGCAATTTTATTTTAATGCTTTCCTTATTAGGCTCAATTATTTGAAACAGGTTACTCTTGGGAAACTATGTACAACCTTTTACAAAGTCTAAATACAGTACCAATCATATCAGAAATTATTCTACAAATAAGATGAAATATTCCTAAAACTATATATAGTACTGGTATACACAAAATACTTAGTGTGAAAATATCAATATTTAAAGTTCCCATACTGAACTTTTTTCAGTTACTTGTATATAATTGCAGTGGTTCAATTATCTATATTTAATAAGCATAATCACAGCCCAGAAACAGTAACAAATGTCCTTTTAATTACATAAAATAATATGTACAAGAAATATAAATATATAGAACTTAAAGACCTTCTCTCCCTTATTCCAAAATTTAATTATGTGTACCATCACTGAACTTGTTATTTTTAATATAAAAGATTTAAATAATATAAATGAGAAAAATTTCCTATCAAGATTTTTCTATCTTCCTCTCTCCTCCCCTTTCTTCCTCACATGCACATTTGCACACCTGTGCATTCTCTCTCTCTCTCTCTCTCTCACACACACACACAATTATTTTAAAAACACAATCAAAGTCTAAGTGACATACAATATGAGACTCAAAAACCAGCTCTATAAGAAAGCACACAAGGTAAGATTCAGAAAACACAAAATCAGGTTCAAATCCCAGCTCTCCAACTAAAACCAGTTGAATAATCACTTCTTAGCTTTGTGCCTTTAACAACTACTAATTAAAAGTCTGTTAGTCTACTTCCTCATCTATGAAAGTGGGCAAAAACTGAACTCACCTCAAGTAGTGGTTATGAGTATTAGAGTAAGAACTAAAATGACAAGCCATAACATAGTGTTGATATATATAGTCAAGGGCTTAAAACTCCTAGTTGCAGCTATTACCAATACCAACACCCCTGACACTATTTTGGGCAAGGATTATTAACATCTGTTGTATTTCCTCTACAAAGCAAGATAAGTGCTGTCTTTCCTCAAATGATATATATAACAACTTTTTGAAGCATCCTACAAATTCTTATAATTATTACATTATATATTGTTCAAAGTTAGGGGGAAAAGTTTTTTTCTCAATCATTTAAAGTTCCTTTGAAAAACTTTAAAATATTAAAGTCTAGTTTTAATTCCTGAAAAGAAACAAGTGTTTCTCATTATTGTAGATATTTTAAACCAAAACATATACTGTATATCAAAAGATCTATTACATTGCTTTTTAAAGAAAGTCATTCAACACTAATAATCATAAATGGATCTGGTTAAAAGGTAATGTCCGATTAGGGTCTACTTTCTCAATCCCAATATATCTTAAAATCCATTAATTTTGGGTTTATTTTTATTGCTTTTGTTTTCAATCTTCTGAACATAAAGGAAACCTGTTAATAACTGTATGCTATAGCTGCTCTAATATTAGTGAATATAAACATTTCTTACCAAGTTACGCTTTTTTAATGGAAGAAAGTAATAATAGTGGCAGAAAGAAAACATCAGTGCATAGCAAGTAAGAAGTTCAGTGTAGAAACACAATTGCAGAAAAAGCCAATGATTATCTTCACCAACACAATTGTTAATCCTGAAGAGAGAAAAATAAAAAGAAATTAAACTTTAATAAGATGTTAATTTCAGAATTGGTAAAAATAAACACAAAAGAACTTCCTATATGGGTAACTTCACGGAGACAAACTAACATCACTCAAACCTAAAAGCAAACAGTACATCGGAAAAGACATAATATCTGTAAAGCACTTTGTACTTTACAAAGGAAGTCCATATATATGATCCTTCTTTAACTCAGAACCACCCCGTGAGGCAGGAAGAGCAGATGCAAGAACAGGAACAAAGGAGTTCAACTTGCCAGAGCTGTACAGTTAGAGCTTAAGACACTTGCCAAAGCAAGTGCAGTTAGCGATGAAGAAAACAAGAACCTTCTCCTATACAGTGCTCTTCTATGAAGCATTCTAGCTTCGAGAGCAATTTGAATGATGTGAAGTAAAATAACTTAATCCTGCCACTCTGACATAACTGCGAAGCATTCACTATTCTTCTTACTTTTAAAAGCTACCCTTGGCTGCTAAAAATAGACATATATCCAAAACTACTTACAGATTCTTAGAGCTACTGAACATAAACACAATAGTGAACCATAACTAGGAAAGACAATTAATGTCATAATCCCATAAATTTCAAAGCTAATGCAAGCTAAATGTTTTATTGTTTCAAAATTTATTGTACCCAAATTTTCAAAATATTTTACAATGCCAGGAGAAAACCCTAGTTCAGAACTATAAGTTACCCTGTACAAATGTTTTTATTTCAATATATTATACTGGCACTGTTTTGTGGTGTGCTTTTTTAGAAGAATGTTTTTTAGTTTTTGTTGTTGTTGTTTTGGTATATATTTTTATTGATTTTGGAGAGAGGAAGGGAGAAGGAGAGAAAGACAGAATAATCAATGATGAGAATCATTGATCGGCTGCCTCCTGCACACCCACTACTGGGATTGAGCCTGCAACCCAGGCATGTGCCCTTGATAGGAATCGAACCCGGGACCCTTCAGTCCTCAGGCCAAAGCTCTATCCACTGAGTCAAACCAGCCAGGGCACTGGCACTGTCTTTAAAAAACTATAGAATAGGTTCAATTCCTAACTAAAATTGTTGTTTTAAAAGTGTGTTGTTAAAGTATTTTTAAAATCAGATATAGAACTGAACAGAAAACCTTGCAGAGGCATTCCTTAGACTTAAGAGCTCATTCTTTGTTAATAAGAAAATGTCTTGTGTTTTGTTACAAGCAGGGCTATCAAAAAGTGTTTATATATGCATTCTTCAACAGAGACTGCTTGAAAGATGACGTTTCCTTGTCCTATCCTTCCTGTGCCCCTAAATTTGAGAACAACTGCTATGATACTGGCATTTTTCTTAACCAGAGAGCTTTAAGAAGCACTAAGGTTCTTAGTTTATAGGTATAAGAGTTCTCTTGGTAACAATTATACTACATAGAAAAAGTGATCAGATCCAGATCAGAGAAAATCTTATGGTGACTTGAGAATGACCTCCAAATCTAAAGCTTTAGGCAGTTAGAACAATGCCGCTTCTGAAAATAACAAAAATTCTCTATTCTTCCAATTTACACTGTATAGTTTCCCTCACTCTGAGTATCTCAACAACATTCTATTAGGAAATTAAATCATGAAAATCCTTAAATCTATTCAGGCCCCTGGTCTACCCTCCTTTCCTATCTTCCAACTCTTTCTTCTTCCACTCTTCTTCCCAATATTCTGAGAAGTTGCCTAAATTGGGAGCAAGAGGCCTAGAAACAGAGAACTCACCACAATCTTTTGAGTTTAGGCTAAACAGCACTTTATTTTGTCACTGAGTGAATCTTTATTCTTTAAAAATAAATAAAAAATATCACTAATCTCTATAGTACCAAAATATTTCCTTATTCACTGTTTATGTTTTTAAGTTTAAACTATATTGCATTCTTTTAAAAGGAAGTATCGATATCCAACTGTGTATGAACATTTATTATATTTTTAGTTAATCAGAAACGTTGCTCTAAAAAGTGTATAAAATTGAGTTTTTCAGTGTGATTAACACTTACCAGTTTACCTAGCTTTTATTAATCTATTATTATAATTATAAAGAGATCACTGAATTATAGAAAACACTTGAGGATTAACCTGTATAAATTCTAGGCACATTTTTAAAGACCAACTATGTGTTACAAACTATATTATCTTATTGATGAAATATATATAGTAACAAAGTGCTTTTATCTAAAAGTGCTTTTTATCTACTTAAATAATCAGTTTATAGTAAAACCCAAATTTCCACTAAAACCTTGCTAATAACTTGTGCTATCAAAATAAGTTATCAACAAATAAGGGAAACTCTAAATTGATTAGCATTACTAGACAAAGCTAAACACTTCCCTCGAGTCAACTTTAGATATAAGCAGTTATAAATTTAACAAGCCTGCTATACAGTTAACTTTGTACATATGCATGCATGTATGTACAAACATAAACATAGATGTAGAGATATGTTTATAGAGTGCTACAATACACCAGTTTAAATATTTATACTGCTATCCCACGCTAGAAAAACATTTAAATACAATACCTTGTTCACAGATTTTTGTGACAGCTTTGAAATGAGATACAATGCAGAATTCTCTCAGCATTTGTTTTAAAAATTCTATTTTTCAAGTAAATATTTTCTTTAAATATTACAAGAGAGCCCCCTATTGACCAAAAATGTTGGCAGTTTAGCAGAATTAGCTGATTTCCACTTACACACATCCAGCGTGTATGTAATGTTAATACCTAAAACGCATAATACTGAAAAAGGCTTAAAGGGAGAGGAATGAGGTCAGGGTACCTGAAATGTATTATTCTTTAAACAAATGGAAAGGGAAATATAAACAATGGGATGTATACGGTTTATTACAGTTAAAAACAATAAGAGCTACTATTTAAGTACTTTCTAAGTTTCAGACACTGTACCAAATGTTTTACATACATGCCTCATTTAATATAACCACATTATTCCTTTGTATATTTGGCTGCATGTTAATTCTTAGCTTTCTACTAGAATATTTTCTTGTTAGAAAAGATAGGATCTCTGTGGGGAAAAATGATTTTGGGAGTTCACAGAACCATATCAAAAATGAATGCTTATTAAAAGATGTTTTTAAACTACATCACCTTCATGTAACTTTTGTTTAAACCTGCTAAGTACTACAATTTAGTTTTACTAGTTTTTTCTAAAAGTGAATTATTTATTTCTTACCATGGACAGTGATGATCCATTCTCCTAACACAGTGGCCGCAGCGGCTGCAGTGGTGGGAACGCTTTGGTCTCATCAAATTACACTTGTTACATAATTCCCAGAACTCCCTTTCTAGAGAAAAAAATTAAAATCCATTTAATGAAGGTAAATGAGTAATGTTGAAATTTAGCAACAATTGTTTAGAGATTTTATAGAAAGTATTCAATATATAGGTCTAAGAAATTTTTCCTCTAGTCTCCAGTATTTCACATAAATGTTGTTACTCTGTTTTATGATGTCTGATTTTGTATGTTTCTAATTTTAAATACTATAAAAAAATAAGACACTATTATTAGTCAAACTAAGGAATAGAAAACAACGTATTTGGGTTTGGGACATATTGCTACAAGTAAAATTCAATGATAAAACTCTAAAATACAACCAAATTATTAAAACAGAATTTTATTTAAACAAATTTCTAGAAATTTTGTTATCTAAAGGCTCTAATAAAGGAATAATGGTGAGTTCTGGTTTCATGGATTAATAAATCAAAATCAATCCTACAATATCATTAGAGAAACAGAGATTGCATTCCCAACCCTCAAACCATTTTATTTTCTCATATTAACGAGTACACTGGGGAAAGTTTATGGGGGGGATTTGGAAAAGATTTTCAGATGGGTTTAGGAGGTTATTAGAATAGTTTCAACCTACATATCTGTAACTCATGTCTTAGTCTGCTCCCTTTCCTTCTTCAGGTGTATGCATGTGCAAATGGGACCTGATGGCCAATATATTCTGATGTCTGATAACTACCTACAATACTTTGGACCAGTCATCTCCAAATGTAAAATCAAAGCCGATGGGAGAGAAAATCCAACTGCTACTTTATGGTAACTATAAACAAATTAAAAACTCACAAATATATCTTTAAGAAGAAAAATCAAAACCTAAAACTAATCAGAGAGAAAAAGACAAACTCCACAAATGACTGAGATTTTTAATATAAGTAAACAGCATCACTTTTTTTTTTATTTGTAAGAGAATATTTATTTGGTAAATCATAGAGGTAGAAAGCTAATTCCTAGGAGAAATGGACTTAGGATACAAGTTACCTGGAAGGGCCCTTGGAGCTTGGAAGTGAGGAAGCTAATGGTAATGGGCCTGGGACAGGGAGGGGGAAGAGGGAAGAGAAAGGGAAAGGCAAGGGCGTGCTCCCGAGGGAGAGCACACTGTGAAGATTTTAGGGGAGGTCCCATGGGAAGATCTCAATAGAATATTCAGCAGTTTTCCAGGTGAGCATAGCACTGTTTAACATGGATCCTTATTAATGCTGTAAATACATGAATGAATATAAAACAAGGTTTTATTTTGTTTTGTTTATCCCTCGGAAAGGAAGGAAGCACCTTCTGTTCTAGTCTTAAAAGACTCGAATTGTTAAGGGGCCCTCTCTCAATTACTGCATTTCAAATCTCAACGTAATGTTTTGGGGAAAAATATAATTTAAAACTACTAAAATCAATACAAGGTTTAGGTCTTAATAGTGGTTTCCTGACAGAAATGGTTGCCAATGTAGGAAATAAATGTTAGTAAGTCTCCTACAGATCACCTTTAAAAAGCAATATAAGCCCTGGCCAGGTGGCTCAGTTGGTTGGAGCATTGTCCAATACAACAAAAGGTTGCGGGTTCTATTCCCAGTCAGGGCACATGCCTTGGTTTCGGGTTCCATCCGCAGTTGGGAAACCTATGGGAGGCAACTGACTGGTGTTTCTCTCTCATATCGATAGTTCTCACTCTTTCTCCCTTCTGCTCTTTCTAAAAAGTAATAAAAAAAGCATATCCTGATGTGAGGATTAAAAATAAAAATTTAAAATAGAAAAAGCAATATAAGCCTTGGCTGGTGTGTCCAGAGGTTAGAGCACCAGCCACACACCAAAGGGTCATGGGTTCGATTTCTGGTCAAGGGCACATACCTGGATTGCAGGTTTGATCCCTGGCCCCAGTTGGGTGCATGAAGGAGGCAACCAACCAACGTATTTCTCTCACATCAATGTTTCTCTCTCTCTCTCTTCCCCGCCCCTTCTACTCTATCTAAATATTAATAGAAAAAAATATCCTCAAGTGAGGATTAACAAAAATAACAATAATAAAATAAAACAACATAAGAGGGAGGAAAAAGGCAAAACTATGAGTGAATACATGACCCTCAGCATTAACAGCATGGGTTAAATTTCAAGGGACAATATTAGACAAATTTAAAACATGATATATTTTTTAAAACTTAGAAGGAAGATTTTGTTCTCTAACCATATGTCAAAAAGTAGCTGTAGTGATGACAAAAAACAGTAAAGTCAAAATTACTAGTTAAGAAACAGCTTGATGATGAAATGTTCTAAGACTGATTGTGGTGACAGTTGCATAACTGTGAATATACTAAAAGCCACTAAAGTGTATAATTTAAATGGATAAATTATATTGCATATGAATTATACTCAATAAAGCTATTTTAAAAAGTTAAGAGATTGAATAAAATCATTTCATGAAATTTGAAAGTGACAAAAGTAATATTTCTGTATTTCAGACATGTGTGAATAATTTGAATAATATAAATAGCATTTAATTATTTCACTTGACTATTTTATCTGCATGCTGAAAAGCTTGTAAAATCAAATTCTGGGGCCCAGACAGCCTGGCTCAGTGGTTGAGCATGACCTTTGAACCAGGAGGTCACGATTTTTTTTCATCCACATTTAAAGCCATAGTAAAAGCTAGTGAAACAAGGATCTGTGCCTCAAATCTTTCTGTAATATTCTGCCATGTGACCTATAAAGCATAATCTATGCTTCTGGTCACGCAGGCTACCTACCTCATACAATTACCCTGAGGATTATATGACATGAGATAGATATCAAGAGGCTTTGAAAACATTAAAATATGATAAATGAACATATCTTTTTTATTGGACAGAAATCTTCTGAACTTAGTGAAGAAAAATAGGCCAAATGTCAATGGGACCAGATATAATGCAGATATCCAAATAGTCAGCAAGATGGTATCCTCCGTTGCTACAGTCTATACGCTAAAGGTAACAATGTGGTTTCATGATTCAATTAGGCCCATAGATATTAATCTGCTTGGTATTCATTTTAAAACAATTTTTTAAAATTTTTTTTAAATGTATTTCTTTATTGATTTCAGAGAGGAAGGGAGAAGGAGTGAGAGAAACATCAATGATGAGAGAGAATCATTGATCGGCTGCCTCCTGCATACCCCCTACTGGGATCTAGCCCGCAACCCAGGCATGTGCCCTTGGCCGGAATCGAACCTAGGACCCATTGGTCCGCAGGCTGACGCTCTATCCACTGAGTCAAGCCGGCTAGGGCGATTTTTAAAAATTTTTAACTAGTTGCCAATTTTGCTTAATCATGAAATTTTTCATAAAAATTTTATTATTAAGTAAAAATACTAATTTCTCAAATAATTATATACCACTCAAAAAATATTTACCCAGTATTTACTAAGTGACAGAGACTGTTCCAGGCACTGAGGATACAGCACTGAACAAATGAAGAAAACGAAACAACAAATCTTCACCCTCAGCGAGGTCATACAGATCGAGGGTGGGAGGAGAGAGAAACCAATACACAAACTGAAAGAGAGAGCCAAGGAGAGGGCTATGAGGAGTCAACTGGGATTTGCAATTTTAAATAGAGAACTCTAGAAAGGAAACATCTGAGAAAAAACTTGAAAGCTGTAATAGATGTCATGTATAACTAATGCATACTAAAGGCAATAAATACATTGATAAAAAGAGTAATTCTGGAAAAGTAAAACTGATAAATCTGAAGAGTGCCATACCTCCATGTGGGATCTTAGGGTTTTCAGGGAGTCTTCCTGGATCAGTTATTGAGGCCCTTACTAAGGCAACCAGACAAAATATGGCAATGCCATAGAATACTAGAAGATAAGGGAAAAGAAAAGGAAAGGGGTAGGAGAAGAGCAAAGGGAAAGGGAAGGGAAAGAAAAAAAATTAGTCACTTACTCTTAGACACATTTTTAACAACAAGCATATTTAAAGTATAACTGCATATTTTAATTAATAGCATCCAGATAAATAATTTTCAAAAGATGGAAAAATTGAACAATTAATTCACTTGATTCATCAAATAATACTGCCAAGAGGACTATCTTAAGTATACCACTTTTAAATGTTACTTTGCATAATAACTAATAAACTGGTTGTAAATCATATTCTTTATTAATAGAAATTCCCAATAAGCAATGGCATAAATGAATGGATTCCCTATTAAGTACATGTACTATATATGGAAAAAATTAAAGCAGCATTTTCAAGCCTATCCTACAATTAAACTTTTTCATTAATTCTTAACTGGCTATCTTCAAAATTACTTTGAATTAGTGATGTTCAAATGTTGCAGAGCAGCATGGAACAGACTGTCAAACTACAGCATCGAACAGACTGTCAAACTGCAGCGGGAAGGCTGGGGAGCGTTGGGGGGCGGGGGGAGGGGTAAGAGATCAACCAAAGTACTTGTATGCATGCATATAAGCATAACCAATGGACATACGACACTGGGGGGTAGGGGAGGCCGGGGGAATGTCAAGGGAGGGAGGGGAGGAGACACATGTAATACTCTTTGTAATACTTTAAGCAATAAAACAAAATTTTTTTAAAAAATTGTTCCTTTCAATAGATTTAAGATATTTCATTTGAAATTAAAGAATCTAGAAACTTTTTTAAAATAAAAAACTAGATAAAGTAACAGTAAGAGAAAAAAGATTCATTCATCATAATTCAACCTTTTAAATGAATAAAAGAATAGGCATTTTTTGAGGGTGGGGAGGATGAGAGGGCACTGCACCTGTAATAGGAAATTTAGTTCAAGTGTTAACTCCAGGGCTGATGGCATGGCACTGGTCAATTTTATCATTTATATATCAGAAACCATATTTCTCACAGCTCTTGTGAGGTCAAAATGACATATTGTATATGGAAACTGTAAATGCCATGTACATGTAAAATATGTCATTTCAAATTTAATCATAAGCAAGCCATCACCAATGAACTATAGCAGAAAGTAATTATGTAGAAGTTCAAAGTGTCATAATGAACATTTGCATCACAAAAATCTTACTTCTCATTAATGTATACCATCTTCATACTTAAACTCTTTATACATTTGCAGTAAGTACATAACAGAAATATTAAAAATACACAAATTGACACAATTGTATCTTTTTTAAAAATAAAATCTTTATAGATTTTGTAGAGTTAGATATCTAACCCATTTATCTAACCCTGCAAAACAGTATATAAAGGACATTATTTTTTAAAATTTCCATAATTCAGTAAATAACTTAGTATTAATAGCACTAATATTAAAAGGAAGATTAATATAGTAGCACTATATTCCAAAAACATCCACAATGAAGAAAATCTTTAATTATGTAAAGAAATAAAGACCTAGAAACTTACTTATTATTAATATGCCTGGAATATGTCCTTCTTCATAGTGAGGAAAGAGGACAATTTTGGGAATTATAACAATATTGTATAACCAGACAAAGACAATCAAACCCATGCAGCACCAACCATGTGGGTCAACAACAAAGTGAATCCGGAGACCCATTTTGCAGTCCTACAACTGCCTGCCAACCCACAGGAAAGACAATCCTACGGAGAGAGAAAGAAGAAAAAAGTTACTTACTAGTATATAGAAAAAAGTGTTTGACTAAAACAAAATTACCTTACTGGCAACTATAACATAATACTTGTTGACTTTTCTTTGTATATTTTTGACAAAATAAAATACTTTAGAAAAGAAAAAAGTTTCAGGATATTCAAATTTCACCATGAGCTTCAAATAATTTGATTTTTTTTTATGAATTGCTATCATAGAATATAAATTGGCACTACCTTCTGAAGTTAAACACAAGTCTGTCCTTAACCCAGAAAATCCATGTGTAAACCCGGCAAAAATGAGTAAACATATCCACCAAAAGATAGATAGATAGATAGATATAATATATAATTTTTTAGTAGTTTTAATCATAAGACTAACTGATGGTCATCCAAGTCAAAATAGCAGTAATTTTGTGGTGGCAAGTGTGTTTAACTGGAGAGGAACATAAGGGAACCTTAGAGGGGTTAGAAATGTTCTGTCTCTTGACCTGGGTAGGTTTCATGGGTATATACATATGTAAAAATTCACAGAGCTGTACACTTAAGATTTGTGCAATTTAGTTTCATTTTAAACCATAGTATAATGCTTATAAATCATTTTGAAAAATTATAATAAAAACTGAAAAGCAATTAAAAATTACCAAAATAATTAAATTTGTTGAATGAAGACCAATTAATCTTATTACTATCAAGGCTTTTTTCAGTTGAGTGTTAATAAAATAAAGAGCCTCTTAAAGTTAAGATACTTCTATACCTATGTTAAAAAAAAGAAAATGGCCCTAACTGGTTTGGCTCAGTGGATAGAGTATTGATCGGCCTGCAGACTGAAAGGTCCCAGGTTCAATTCTGGTCAAGGGCACGTACCTTGGTTGCGGACACATCCCCAGTAGGAGGTGTGCAGGAGGCAACTAATCGATATTTCTCTCTCATCGAATTTTCTAACTCTCTCTCTCCCTTTCTCTCTGTAAAAAATCAATAAAATATATATTTTTTAAAAAGAAAATGACTTTTAAAATCCATTCTTTAGATGTAACTTATAAGCTTAAACAATACATTATAATATAAAATACAATGACATAATACATTAATACACTATGATGTTTCGCAAACCAGAATCAACTGAGATTTTTAAAAATACTATTCCCAGACCCCAATCCAGATCTATTGAATCATAATTCTTTACAAAGTAAAGCTCAAAAATCAACAAAATGTTAAAAATGTTCCCTAATTGTATATGACACAGCTGAGTGGTATCTATGAACCACTAATTCAGGAGCTTCACTAAGACTTTACTGTTAGAGCAACGAGTTAAACTCAGTTCAAAAAATATTCATTGAGCCTCCACTATACAGCAGTTACCTGTGTAGACACAGTAATGAATAAGACATGGCCTTTGCTTAAAGCAATTAACAGTCTAATGGGGAAGAGAGTCATAAAATGGTTTTAATATAATATGGTAAGTTCCAGAGATGTCGACAAATTGTTACTAGAGGCACAAAAGACGAGGACTAATTAAATCAGGGCAAGACTTCCTATAGGGGGTGAAACCTGAGTTCAGTACTAAAGATGAGTAAGTTATTCAAGTAAAGAAAAGTGACAATACTGTAAACAGAAGGAAGAGCAAGAGGTATACAAGGGTAAAAGTTGGAGGAGTCATTACAAATTGCCATCGTAAATCACAAATCTTTCAGTGGAGAGAGAGTCAGTGGTGAGAAGGGGCTATATCAAGAAGGACACAAAGATGCCATGTTAAAATATTAAGACTTCATTCCTGGAAGGTGTGGCTCAGTTGGTTGAGCAGTGTCTCGTGCACCAAAAGGTCATCGGTTTGATTCCTGATCAGGGCACAAGGCCGGGTTTCGGGGATCCCCAGTAGAGGATGTGCAGGAAGCAGCTGATCTCTGTTTCTCTCTCGTATAGATATCTCTGTCTGTCTGTCTGTCTCTCTCTCCCACCCTCCCCTTCCTCTCTCTCTAAAGTCAATAAAAACACATTTACAAAAAAAAAAAAAAAAAGAATATTAAAACATCATTCTTAGCCATTGGAAAGCTATTGAAGCAGGGATTTAACCTAATGAGATTTATACTTTAAAATAAATTATTGACACTCTGGTGAGGAAGATGAAAGATCAGTTGGAGAATAAATCAATTGAAGAAATAGTTAGAATTAAACCAGTAATTTTACTAATTGACTGGATATTAGGGATCACAGGGGAAAAAGTCAAGGATGACTCCCAGATTTCAGTTTATATCCCAGACTACTTAATTCCTAGAATAATTATCATCAGCTGCAACTTTTAGAGGCCTTGACAATGTTCTTTAAAGCTACCAGAACAAAGAAAAAAAAGATTAAGGATTACTTAATTTTAAAAGAACACCCCTATGCTATCATTCCTATGGGAACTCAAATGCACCACCACTCAACTGATGAAATCAGATACGGTCTAAATTAGTCCTTATATATAAAATCTAAAACATGAATAGCGCCTAGGTCTTTAAAAAAGTAAAAGTTGAACTTCAATACCTTTTAATTAGAAAATTAAAATACCTATCAGTATCATTTAAGCGAGAAAAGTCAGAGAGGATAAAACATGCTATTTAACTTACTAGGTATCATTTTAAAAACTAAAGATGCTCAAATAAAAATGATAAGCTATCTACCAAAGCTAAAAAGAGAAACACTAAAAAAATGTTTACATTTAGAGTCTTGCCAACCATCGTGTGCTAAAAGAAACGACAGAAGGCTCTGTCTCTCAACATATTCAACATTATTAACTTCATGTAACTTCTCTAAATGTTTCAGTTCCATTCAGGATTAAACGACAAATTATGAATTACAATAATTATACAGAACAGAGTAATTTAATAACTTATTTCCAGATTTATTAATATTAGAAACAGAAGAGCAAACAAGCCAGCAAAACGAGTGGCAAAATTATATGATACTCATTCACTTTTTAACTTTATTTTTATTCTCCTCTACCAGAGAACAAATGTTTTCAGTAGAAAAGAGAGATTCCTCACAACAGAAAATATTAGACAGTGAAAAGTATAGCTACAACATATCTATTTTTCTGGATGTAAACGTATAGGTAACAAACTCTAAAAGAACAAGCATGCTCAAGGAAAAGTGAGCAAAAGATAAAAAATAAAACAGTAAACAAATAATATGTCGAATATTTTTTAAATACCTGATTCGTGAAAATTAGTGCCACATAACCCTTACAACTGGACTGTAGAGAAGAAAACAGTAGTCTCCCAAGAGCTCCAAATCAGATGACAACCGGAAACACTTAACTGGTAGAGTTGCAGGATCGCTCGACTCAGTTAATGACAACTAGGCGTGGCTTATGACTGAACAGAAACTATTACACATCCTGAGCAACAACCAAACTGAACGCAATGCTGCTACTCCGGTGCCATTTGTAAAATACTTTCATTAGCCAAAGATCCCAACATATTAATTTGTATATTAAATGATGAGCTTATAACTAAACTTTGATGTAACTAGTGGACATACTGGTACTTCAACATTTTTAAAGATTGCTATCTGGTAACTAAATATACTTGAGTGCTGTGTCTACATAATTAATGATGTAAATTACTACAGCACAAACTTTTTTTAGAGAAACTATAATTCAACTCTAATAAACTGGACTGCATAAATATTTACAATGTTCAAACTATTCTGGTAGGAAACCACCTTTCCTTTATTACCTTTTCAGATTTTAGAAAATGATGAAAATTTGCCAGCATAATTTACAGGAGATATAGTCAAACATATCTGTCTAAACTTACAGGTTTAGCCAACTCTCCACCTCAGCCAGTGGTCTTATTACTGTTCCATGAATATGGAGAATGTATTCCATCTCCCATTTCTCCTATCTGAAATGTTCTTACCATTTTGCTTACTCTAAATTCACCTCATACTTCAAGGTCAATTTGAAACTCACTCTCCATATAAAAATTTTCCTGGTACCTCAGTTCACAGTGACTTCTCTTTCTCTTCTATTCCAAACAAAAAGCAAAGCTAGTGGAAGAAAATAGCGAGTGGTTTTACAATCTTGGAATGAGGAAGGCCCTCACACACGAGACCCATAAGCCAAGTCTGACCACATAAAGGAAAAAGTTCTGAAGCCAAAGACACACCAAAAACGAAGTTAAAAGACAGAACATCCCTGGAAAATAATAACATGACTAATAAGCATGAAAAATAAATACTTAGCGAGGCAATTCACAGAAGAAAAAATGCAATGGCTAATCACCAGTGATTAGGAAAATGTGAAATAACTAGGCACATTTTTCATCTTTGGTATTGACAAATTTTAGAAAGACAGATGGCATCCAATGTTGACAGGACAGAGAGAAAAGGACACACTGGTAGCATGTAAACTGATATAATCATTTGGAGGGCAGTCTGGCAGTAAAGGTCAAACTCTTTAACCCAGCAGTTTTATTTCCAGTAATACCTAAAAAATACTCATTACAGTGTACCGGTCTGTTCTATACAGCACTTTTTTAATCACAATAGTACGGCACAACCTAAATGTCCATGTAGAGGGAGAGGAATGAGTAAATAAATTATAACATCCATAGTGTAAACTATTTCCAAGTCACTACAAATTTAAAAGGGGAAAAATGAGGTAGCTCTAGACCTCCATATGGCTGCTCACATATAATGCTGAGTTACACAGGCAAAGTCTATGGGGGTGGGGGTGTCTTAGTGGTTTCCTACAGAGAGAGGAGAAAAAAGATAGACTAGGAAAAGGCAAAAGGGAACTTCTGTGGCGCTGATACAGATCTCTATTTTGATAAAACTTTGCGATACACAGGTCATGACCTGTCAAAACGCAGCAAATACACACTTAGGAGTGTTGCATTTCATGGTACGTACGTTTACCTTTTAAAAACCCTGTAAAACAGCACTGAACTCTACTTAATAATATGTATGCTGAAGTATTGGGGAGAGGGAAGAAAGGGAGGAAGTGTACTGATAGTTGCAATTTACTTTGAACAGGATCCAAAAAAATGAAAGTAGATTGCTAGATGGACAGAGGGATGGGTGAGAATGTGATGAAATTCAGTAAAATATTAGTTGTGAATGTAGGTGACGGGTATTCAGATGTTACACTATAATTCTTTCAACTCTCCCGTTAAAGTTTTTTATAACTAAATGTTGAAGGAGAAAGCAAGTTATAGAAAATTGTGTACATGATTCTGTTAGAAGCAAAGTACGAGTAAATTCTGTATATGGATCAGAAAAAAGTGTGAAAGAGAGCACACCTCCAAACTGTTAACAGTGGTTATCACTGGGCTGAGGAAGGACTGAGCAATGAGAAGGAAGGCTTTCACATTTTATGTATGTATTTTTGTGTTCTCCTAAGTTTATTAGTAAACATATGTACTTCTGAATTCTTTTCCACCAACTGAAAAATAAAGATAGCCTACGGGCTTGCAGACACTACAGCCTTACAAACAAAATGTTTAAATTAAGCCTCTCTTTATCACTATGTATTGCCCTTATCTTAAATGCTTTTAAAATTAATATTTAAAAAAATGCAATGAAGAAGCATCATCTGTAAAGCCATATAAGATTTATAATCCTGAAAGTTGCTTCTGAAACTTGTATTACTTACAGATTATTTTTCTCTATGGAAAAGCCTAGACATTTTCTTACCCTCTAAGAAAATGTTTAGTTAAAATTTAATGTGAATAATTTTAAATAAATATAAGGAAACTACTATTTTTTTGCAAATGAGCAATTATTAAAATGTATCTAAATATAAGAATTAAGGATACAATGCCACATAATTCAGAAACATATTCCCATGTAAAATTAAATGCAGACTTACCACTTGCAAATTCACTGTGATGTGTTGTAATTTTTCTGGTACTTGCATTTAGAGGTTTTATCTTGATTCATTCTTTCTTTATTACATGCCAACAAATGGATCTCTCTTCAATAATAGTTCTCCATAATAATCTATTAATGATTTAACAAATAATTATCTCTCACAAAGATAAAAATTGTAAGCAGCTAAATAACCTGAGAAAATGTCAATTACAAAATTTTAAATTAAGAAATAAGATGATTCAAGTCCACCTGATCCTGTGCTTTCAGATCCCACACCATCCCCCCAAAATGTACCTTTGATTACCATTGTACATGAAAGTTCTTTCTTTTGAAACCACTTAGTTCCCATAAAATCAAATCAGCATTATGTGTACAGCATTTGGACTTCATCAAGCTTCCTGACCACAAATCACAAAATGATAATCGATTCTGAGATCACTGATGAGACAAAATGCAATGTAATGTCTACATTAATGTGAGGCTAGAACTATCTAATCACAATTGATAAGCATAAAATTAAGAGTTTAAAATAGAAGCAAAGTTTTAGTTTAAAATGTTGTAAGGAAAAACGTTTTCCTGTAATAAAACCATTAAGAGAAGCACTCATAAAAGTTAGTTTCTACAATTCAAGCTTAAATAATAATATTGTAAAGAGTTCTAGATAACATATACTGATTCAAGATTTCATTAATTTAATCTACATCTACTGACTATATCCTGTGCTTTGGCACTGGATATAAATATGAGAGGCCCTATCCTCAGTGGAGAAAGACAGTGAACAGACAAGACCAATACCAGGTAAGATAAGGTAAGACAGAGGGGCAGGGGGAAGAGCATCTCATATAGGAAGGATGTTGTTTCATGGCACTTTCTTCACTTAAGTGAACATTTATACGTGTACCAGGTTGTAATACAAAATGTACTTCTCATGGTAAATTGCCATCAGGAAAAGGTTTCTGGAGAGAGTGAAATCTGTGAATTAGCTAAATGAAGAATGGAGGCTCGTCTGAACTAGGGAACAAGTAAGCAAAGGTATAAAGGCAGGCAGAGAAAATCCAATTAAGCTGAAATGACAAGAGTCATTGCATATGGAAGAATGGGATAAAACATATCTATCCTTTTGACCACAATCAACTCCAAAAAATATATTTCATAATGTTACTAGTACTCACAAATATATGAGATATGTAAGTATATATTTGAAATACATATGAAATATATATCTGAAAAAGTTTAATGACATGATTACCCTTACTCTATGTGATGCACTATGATTATTTCATGACTTACAAGCAGAGAATGATCCAAAAGCGAAAAACACTGCTAAACAATGCCAATGAATTTGGATTGCACCCTGAACACACTGGAAAGCACTGAAGGATTTTTAGAAGAATGCCATGATGAACTTTCATTTTGGAAAGAAGAGCAACACTTTGAAGTATGGACTTAAGTGGGTGGATAAGGCTCCAAGACTGACTAAATGAAATAAGATAGGCTTACCGGTTACCCACATAAGAAATGAGGGCACCAGGTAAACACCCCAAAAGTCGTAACTTATAAGAGAAGTGGGGAGGGGAGGGAAGAGGAAGAAAAAGTTAACACAGCAGGCATGTTGGAAAAGGGCAATGAAGAACTTAATGAGGAAAACTTAAAGGAGTTAGTGAACAATTGGAAGCAAAGAGCACATGCCAGGATGGTTGCCCAGTATTTGGCTGAGGGATTAAGTGAATGGTGGTACCATCCTCTGAGACAGGAAATTAAGCACAAGTTGTGAATTTGTGAAGCATACTGCTTATCATAGCAATGAGAAACTATTACGTACTGAGAATATAAAAGATACATCAAAATCATTATCATTACATTTCTATTCCCCGTAGATACTTTTTAAAAAAGAACTATTTTCTCCCAGGGCCAATTTTTCTATGGTCCATGATTGCTAGATTGTCAAAGGTAATGTATTTCTACTCTAACTTTCTTGGCTGTCCCTTTGTTTCTTAGAGACAAAATATGGAAGGAGAACGTAAAGGAGCTGCTGCTCTAATGGAAAATGGATGAGTTCATCTTCTAGAAACAAATCTCAAGCAGAATTAAATGTGGTACATCAAGATGTCCTGAAACATGGCCAAGGTCAACAATGCTGCGAAGACTATGACTCCATGGTGGCCTCCCCATGTTTCAGCACAGCAGTTTCTGTCAGTAACATTAGGAAATAGCACAGGTCAACCATCCATGAGTCAAACCCCAGTCATTCACTGGCTTAAAGTCAAGAAAAAATCCTACCTTATACTTGTAGTTGTTAGAGCTACCCTGCAGCTAATGTATCCAAAATGAGATGAACATTTCATCTAGTTCAACAACACCACCACCACTGTGGGATCAAATCTCCTCTACGTGGTATAAAAGCAATGTTAGTCTTAAAAATTCAAGAAATTTGGGGATAACAAAGAATATTCCAAACTCTCATAACTATACAATGTAATTAAATTTGTAACATTGCTAGGTCTAAAAGAATACAATCAACAAGTTATAGGGCATACCAGAAAGAAAAAAAATTTACCCACAGGGACAAAAGAAAAAAAATAGATATATATAATATAAACCTATAATTGCAGCTTAAAATAAAATTTAAAAACAAAGGTACAACTATATAACTTTAAGCATAAATTTATACAGCTATTTAACTTCTGATTTTATCTACTCTGAAAATTGGTCAAGTTAAATAATTCTACTTAAAGGATCAAGTATAGCTATCCTTAATAATTAGCCAATGAGGTATTCATTTTTTAAAAAAACCACAGTGGTATTCAATTTATTTCAATGGAACAGGAAATTAATTTTGTATAAATATTAAAGAGAGCCACATTCCAATTATGACGCAGCCTTTTATTAGCTCTCCAAGCTTCAGTTCCTTTTCAGAATTCAGTTAACCATCTGTAAAATGGTGATAAAAATATTAACTCATGGGGTAATTGTCGTGATTCAATGAGAAACTGCAAATGATAAGCACCTCCAAAAATGAGGAAGGAAAACTTAAAGATGAGTTCTACTTCTAGTCTTACAAACTCCAGAATGAAAAATGATTCTGGTTCCCCTTCATTAAAGTGGTGGTACCACTTAACCATATGGCAGCTACCTACTTTCTCTAACACTGAAGTCTGAGAACTACTGGTCAGGATGAAAAACCTCAGATGGTACAGCCTTTCAGCTGGTATCATACCATAAGCATGTAGGGAGGTTGCATTCCAACATGTTGGCATGAGGTCTCTTCAAGCAGAAAACCAAAAACAGAGATGCCATCTAAAACAGAGAGACTGAACTGAAGCCTGTAAACTAAATCTCTCTCAGTAAAAGCAGAAGGACAGGTGAGTTACAGAATGAAGCCTAGCAGAAAATCAGGACCCCATTTTCGAAGATAATGAAGAATGCATAATTAACGAATTCTAACTCAATTGCTGAGTTCTCCAGGAAGACTTTGTGAAAATGTGAGCAGTGCTACTTCATGTCTACGAAGATGGGCTTTTAAAACTAGGGCTAACTCAATTTACCAATGATTCTTAACCAAAAAAATTACTACTGTGACGATAAGAAAGACTGGTGTTTTTCCACTCTTGTGTTTCACCTATATTTTTTTACTGATTCAAAAGCAGTTCAAACATTTTCAACTTAAGAGTTATTAATGTACTGATTACTCTACTAAATGATAAAATGCCATTTATATTTAGTGCATTTGAAAAGTTGAATCTGAGGCCTAATAGTTTACTAAATAAAAAGTCTTCATTCTTTAGTATAAAAGTAAAACTGAGCTTAGGGAACAACTTTCTGGTAATAAAAATAGCTTTTCCTCTGCCTTGCCCGTTATGCCTGATTAATACTGACACCATCACCATGTGGCCTTCTAAGCTGAAAGAGACGTTATTGACTCACATTCAATTACAATGCCGGAATAAAAGCTCCATGGAGACATTACTGGACTTTTCAATTCACTTCTTCACTAATACATGGCATTATTTTATCTATACTCTTTTGAAAGTTCTGAATCAGTCCCCATCGATTAAAGAAATCAGGAAGTGGGCAAATAAGTAACACTTTTATGATTCACTGATTACTGCTTGTTTTAGAACCTACCCGTTAGGCTAATGGTTCTGTGCATGCATTTTAAAATGCTCAAATTTCTTTCATTAAATTAAACAATCCTGAGGTAGGCAATGTAACACAGTTATCACCATTTTATTCAAAATATGCTCTATTTCATTTACTCCAACTACAGCTTCTAAAGTATATTAAGCTTAACAGAAATCAACAACCGTTTGAAGGGTTGCATATAATCCTGTTGCTTTATATCCAAAATTAGGAATTCTGAAAGAGCACTACACCAAACACTATTCCAAAAGTATGGAATTACACATTTTTACTTATATTTGGTATAATTTTATTAATATTTCTTCAATGAAATGTTTTAATGTACCTTTAACATGTCAAAGGGTCTCAAATTACTTACAAACATACATATGCCAAGTAAGGATGAAGAAGCGAATAAGCCTTACAGAATTTAGCCTGACTTCTTGGTTGTAGAGATGAGAAAACAACATGGGTCAGTGACCTACCCATGACAGTTTTGGGACTAAAATCTAGTTTCCCTTCCACAAAGCAAATCTCTCTTTGGTTCTCTCTTTCTGATTGATTCCTCACATCATCTCATCTTCAAACATCTTTTTGCCCTTAAGACATAACTAAGGCAAAATAAAGCAACTCTCTGGGTTTTATCTTTAAAATAAATAAAATCTGTAAAGTTGGAAGAATTTAACAAGATATTACATCAAACGCATTTTATCCCTGGGATGACACATACTACATGATGATGATGATGATTATTATTATTAATACTATTATTACCATCACAAGGAAGATAGTGTATTTTTTTTAAGCACACAGATTAGCATACGAAGCTGAGGACCCATTTGACACGTTTTTCATTTACCCTTAATGAGCCTGAGTCCTCTTTACTTCAGACTAACTTTGCACTATGATTTACGACCCGCCCACAATGACCTTAATTCCCCCCCCTCCACCCCCTTCCTGGACTTTTATGGGCGACTATATTGCAATATTTTCAAGTAATAACCGGTCAGGTTCTCTCAGCCCTAGAGATACAGACATCCGCCCCTGACTCACAGGGGGTCATAAACCGTGACCCAAATATAGCTTGAGAAAGACCACAACTTTAAATGGACTCTCCGGTTGAAACCCAGACCTATTAAAGTGAATGGTAACAAGTGCAAGCTGCCGCCATCCATAAGCCATTTCCTCCCAACCTCTCCAGGATCCCGGGGAGGGAGGCGGGTCAATGAAGGAGTGAACTCCTCCTGCTCCCGCCGATCCCTGCAGCCCGGCACCCGCGACCTGGAAATGAATGGGAGGCTATGGCAGCCCACACCTGAGACCGGCGATCCCGGGGACACAGGGCAAACAAGTAGTTCATCTGCGAGAAACTCGGGGCAGAGACTCGATAAATCAAATTATAACAATAATAATAATAATAATAAATACCTACCCAACCCCCCTGGACTAGAGCAGGAACCCTCACCAGCTACTGGCAGGGGCAGCGGGCGGGCGGGCGCAGCTCGGGCTGAAGATGCTCCGAGGAGGCCGGGCCGGGCGAGCTGCGCGCCAGGACCCCCGGCACGGGGCGCGGGCGCAGGTGCGGGGAGCCGGGCGCGGCGGGAGCGCGCAGGTGAGGGCGGCGGCGCCGGGAGCAGGCGCGGGGGTCGGGGAAGGCGGGGCGCGTCGGCCTCGCGCCCGCACACACTCACCGGCGCTGGCTGCTCTCCTCTCGCCGCCGGTGCGCGCGGGCGCCGCCGCTCCTCCAGCTCCTCCTCCTCCTCCTTCGGCGCCGCCGCCGCCCAGGCCGGGCCGCGCTCCTTTTCCGCTTCCGGGAGCTGGAGCGCCGGACCGGCGGGGTAAGCCTCCGCCCGCCGCCCGCCACGCCGCCGGTGGAGCGGCTGCGGCCGGCGCCGTCCCCCTTCGCCCCAGGGGCCGCGATGGGAGCCGCCGAGGCCCGAAAGACCGCCAATCGCGCGCGCGCGGACCCAGGCCGCGAGCCGGCCGGACCTCCCATCACCTGGACACACCTGGGCGCTCTGCCCTCCCCCGGTGCCACCTTCCCAGCTCTGCCCAGGCCGCCTTCCGCTTGGTCCCCACACCCAGAGGGACGGGAGAGAGCCTTCCGTTAAGGATGGCATGTACCCTTTTTCTTTAGGGGAGATGCTCAACCGGCCCCTCTCCCTTGAAGGCGCTCGGGACGTCCTGCAACCTCGTGCTTCAGGGTGCATGCAGTCCGCAGCATCAGCATCCTGCGGGAACTTCTTAGCTCTGCAGCCTCAGGCCTGCTGAATCGGCGTCTGCATTTTAACACCATCTCCTGGCCATTACTCCGCGTGCACCTTGAAGACAGAAAACCACTGGACTCCAGTTAAAGGTCTTGCCCACCGCGGACCCTCGGTGGCACCAGAGCCAATGTTGCCCCAGCCATCCAAGATTTTTCCTATTGCTGTCAGCGGCCTAAATTGAGACCCAAACAAATTTTACTTCAGATTTCAAGATACATCCAAAAGTTGCCGGCTTTTCCATCCTGCAACCTAGGAAAAATAAATGGACTCAACAGCACATAACCCACCTTCCAATCTAAATTGGTATCTTATCAAACACCAGGGATACACTGAAACCTCCCCTCTCCTCCCTCAGCTCAACTGAACAGTACTTTGGGAAGGTTAAATATTTGCAGTAATCTGAAGCTAAATATTTTTTGTCGGCATGCCAGCGGAGATAATGTATGAATGCGAGAAATATTAGCTGCTGCATAAAACCTGAACTCCTTACAAGGGTGGGATGTCCTCAAAAGCCCTTCACTAATGGGTCCCTACCTACCTCTCCAGTTCTAGCTCTTACTACTGACTTGGTTCATTTACCCATCGAGAATGCTCTCCATCTTACATTCTGATTATCTTAATTCTATCCAAACTTGTGAGTTAGCTCAAATCCTGCCAGCCCAGAGTTCTCTCTCGCCACTACACTTATATCATACACACTGTAGCTTATTTTGGGCCCTTCTGTTACCTTGTATTGCTTTGCGTTTTTAAATGTGTTATGGTCTAGTTTCCGAATGGATTACAAACACCTTGGGACCTAAAAGACCTAGTCAGTGGTAATCAAAGTGTGGTCCCCACATCAGCAACGTAAACATCACCTGCGAACTTGTGAGAAGTTTCATATTCTCCAGCTCCATCCCACATCTACTGCATTAGAAACTTAGGGGTAAGCCCAGCTATCGGAGTTTTAATAAGGCTTCCAAGTGATTCTAATGTTCACTCAAGTTTTAGAATTACTGACCTTCAGTGGTCGGCAAACTCACTAGTCAACAGAGCCAAATATCAACAGTACAACGATTGAAATTTCTTTTGAGAGCCAAATTTTTTTAATTTAAACCATATAGGTAGGTATATTGTTATTAACTTAATTAGGGTACTCCTAAGGCTTAGGAAGAGCCACACTCAAGGGGCCAAAGAGCCACATGTGGTTCGCGAGCTGCAGTTTGCCAACCATGGACCTAGAATATTGTTTCTACCCCCAAAGGAACTCAGTGGCAGGGTTTGATTTTGCTACAGGCAAGTTTTATTGCCTTTCAGATTAAGACCTAACCTGCTCAGTTCATGCATAATTAGTTGGAAAGCTGTGGCAATTGCTTTTGGAAGAATTATCTCTATTTTCATAACGCTATTTACGTAGTAGGATGTTTGTTTGAAAATAAATACTACAGATAACTAGTCACTTTAGGGGAAAAGGAAATATATGGAGTTTTATCTCCTATAGTCAGGTAACTGAGTAGCACAATGTTGCTCCCTTAGCCAACCCTTGTGACAGACAGTAATTTGTGGCCAATGATCTCAACAGGTGCCAAAATGAGAATTAGTGGGCAGGCATGTTAATGCACAGGACAGTTGGAAGTATACATATTTTTCATGTCTTTTTTTCATGAGTTAATTTGTCTCTTTTCAGCCAAATCAATACGAGAGAGAATTGTCTTCAAAAGGCATGGAAAGAGAGAAGTAGCAAGAAAAACATCCTGAAAATCATGAGCTTTATTAGCATGGGGAGTTAAGAAGTATAATCAAGGCTCTGTCCCTATCAATTCCTTATACTGAAGGTCAAGTCCTCTAGTTCTATCATTTATGATAAACATGACTATATTGTATTGCCACTCATAGATGTAGACGCCTGGTCATAATGAGAGAAGAAGGGAGATATAGCATCATGTAATCTTTTGAGGAGCTCTTCTATTTACTGTGAGATGGAGAAAAGACATATGTCATGCACTATTTTTTTCCCTCCAGAATTCTAGTCTACTTTATGGCACCTGTGACTGATGGAAACATGATTATTAATCAAAGTAATATTTATCTGGGAATTGAAACAATAGACAAGGACAAGTAGCATTGCTGCCACTGCCAACTTAGCTTCTCGACAAAGGGCATTTATGTGGATAAACTCACCCAATGACTGTGCTCTGTGCCGTGGCTGAGGAGGACTGGATTTCACCACAATTTCCAAACGTGAGTGTAAGTACAGTCCAGAGTTTAATCAGTGCTGGCCAACAGCCCTTGGCAGCTTTGAGCGGATGGCGTTCTCCACCTGCCCATCTGGGTCCCATGCCCTACGCACCCACATTTGATGCACATTCATGATTTCTTGGTTGCTTACAGTCATCCCCTCCATCTGTTTGAGTGGCAGGGTGCCCATCCCTCCACAGTCTCATATTATGATAGTGGTCCTTAGCCCCTTTTGGGTTACACATCTCTTTTAGCATCTGATGAAGGCTGTGGAACCTTTTCTTAACAAAACAAACACATGCACACACACACAGTTATAGAAATTTGTACATATATGTGAAGCTCCACAAAATGTTCCATCTTCCCACATATGCAGAGACCACAAAGAAGTCATGAACATTAGGTTAAGAACTTGCCCTAGGATGTGGAGAGCAGGTAAAATAAACTTCTTTTTTTTCCCCTAAATGTCAAGAATAACTCTAAAAACCCACTGTGCACTTAGGAGACAGGACAAAAGCAGTGCTACACAGAGTGACAAGCAAAATGCTATGGGGTGCTAAAGAAGCAGCTAGTGGGATTAGCAGGTGATTCAAGAGTGGCTTCATGGAGGAAAGTTCTTGCATCAGGCAAGTGACAATAGCATTTTAAAAGGACAAAGGATCCCTCTACATTGAGGGATAGTGTAAGCAAAAGCATGGAGGTGTGAAAGTTCAATGGTCCATAGAGTGTGCCTCAAATGCAGATTACATGGAAAGATAGAGAAGGGCATGGAAAGGTAGAACAGAATCCAATCAGGTGAGCTTCAAATACAATGCTATTTTCAATGAGGAGCCATTACACTTTTGGAGCAGGGTAATCTAATGTAGAAAGACAGTGAGGGCAGTAGCAACCCTAAAAAGCTGAGACCAAGTCACGTGGCTTCACCAACAGGTTCCAATTCAGGGCATTAATAACCTTTCCAAACGCCTTCCACTCTGTCTGATGATGCTACTGCCCTCGCTGTATCCAGGTGAATGACCAGGTGAGTTTAGAGTCCAGGACCCTAAAGAGTTAAAATCTGTTTGGAACAGAAAGAATGGCAATGGCTTGAACTGAAAAGAGAAGGAAAAAAAAAGCCTTGCCACTGATCTTGGGCTGGGAGAATACACACAGATAAAGCCAGCTGCAAAGTTAATAGAAAACACCCTTTCGCCAAGGTAATGCAGCAGTTCTATGTTACCACAATGACTCTCTCTTCCGGTGATTACTGACCAATGATGCCACAGGCTGCTTGCTATTTTCATTCATTACTAGGGATTCCCAATTTCTCAGCCACCTTCACCTCATGACAGCACCCAGTTCCTAGTTAATTCCTTCTGTTTTGAATCCCAACTCAGAAAAACTAATCCAAAACTGATCTCTCCTTCACGTAGATTACCTTCAAAATCCTTCAGTGGGAGCCCGAATCACAAAAGATGACTCACTCCTCATGCCTTGCTAATGGCACTCCTCCGGAAGTGCCCTCCCGCCTTGAAGGCAATAAGTTTTATTTTATCAGGCGACAGGCTTGCTCCTGGTAGTCTTTGGCTGATTAAGTTTTGACTACCCATTTGATAATGAGAGCCCCCCAGAGTCAGGATTCAAAGTCAAGGTTCTTCAGGAAAGAGGTCTCTCTTTCTGTGTCAATGCACAATAAAGTGGCTGCCATGCTCAGCAATGAGACCCAGCTGTTTTCACTCTTCCAAAATGGGAGGACGTGATGCTAGGGGCAGGTCACCCTGATTCCTCATCCTTTGGAGAAATGTGTATGATGTTCTAAGGCAGAAGGGAAAAGTGCTCTTAAAAGCTATTTTTGTAGCAACTTTACAGCATAAATATCTTTCAGACAAAAAAAACTATATAACCAAAGACAGGTAACTTGAAAAACCAAACTTGACCCTTTGAGGGAAAATAACACTATAATTTCTTTATGTTCTGTTCAAAACTCAGTGGCCTATTAAAGCTCAAAAATAATACACGTACATATTTATCACAATGATTTCTCACCAGTTAAATGCCATGACAGCCAAATGGTAGGACTAAATGCAAAGTAACACTTTTCTATGAAACAGAAATTTCCAGGTATGATGTCAAAATAACTTGTAAAAGCCATCCCCTGGCAGATCAATCCAAGTATCAGAACTCAAATGTGTATTTCTGAATGGCTAATAATG